CACATATACCAAAAATAGCTCTGGTCCCCTAGGGATGCCCCCTGTGGAACCCCTTTTGTCAAAGGCGCCCACTTTGATACCTTGTCACGTACCATGTATTTGTTGTTGCCTCCCAGTCAGGTATTCTCTGATCCATTGCAGTGCCCTTCCTGGTATACAGGCGCTATCCTCAGCTCTTTTCCACTAATGTCTTGTGAGAGAATGGGTTGTCAAAGGCCTTTTTTCCAGTCCAAGAACATGCAATCCTACCCACCCTATCACTCTCGTTCCTTACATCTTTTACATCAAAATCTCCTGTAACAGGATCTGCCTTCCCAGAATCCCTGCCGGTTTTCTTTCATAATTGTTCCTTTCTAGGTGTTCCACCACTCTCCTCCTGATAATCTCCAGACATTGCATACTATAGCACTCAGTGATACATGGTCTATAGTTTAGTGCCTCGTGTCCTGTCCCATTCTTAAAAATGGGGACTACATTTTGCCCGCCTCCCTAGCTCAGATAGTCCGTCCCATTTTTAATGGATGTGTTGAAAATTGTTCGTGCACACACAACTTCTCTGCTCCCACTCAAGGACCCACGGAGAGATGGTGTGTGTGGTGAAGTGTGTGTGTGTGTGTGTGGTGTGTGTTGTGTGTGCGCCAAGGTGTGGTGTGTGTGTGTGTACTCACCTAGTTGTACTCACCTAGTTGGGTTGCGGGGGTCGAGTCCGAGCTCCTGGGCCCCGGCCCTCTTCACTGATCCGCTACTAGGTTCACTCTCCCCGAGCCGTGAGCCTTAATCAAACCTCTTGCTTTAAAGCTATGGTATGGATCCTGCCTCCACTCATCGCTTCCCAAACTAGTCCACTTACTGACTACTCTGTGGCTCAATATAAATATAAATAAGAAGAATACTATCCTAACATCAGTTGTGATTCATCTGTGTCTTAAGCTCCAACAGTGTCCCCCTTGTTACTGTGTCCAATCTCTGGACATTCCAGTCTTTTGTCCACCTTGTCAATTTCCCCTCAATTTGTATGCGTTATCATTGTCCCCCTATTCACTCCTGTCCACCATGTCGTCAGGTTGATTTCCTTAAACCTTCTCCTCGTAGGACATACCTTCTTAGCTCGGGACTAGTCCTTGTTAGCAAACCATTTGCAAATTTCTCTATTTCTTTAACGTGCATGCTAGGTGTTGGTGTTTTCCAAACGTTGGCCGCAAAACATCCAAATATGGCCAAACGTATACGGTGTAACAGGGTCATGACGAATTCCTTATTAAGAGTCCGAATTCTTATTCTGAGATTTGCTAGGCGCCCATATGCTGCAAGCATTTATTTGGTTGATGTGCGCTTCAGGAGAGATGTGCCTGGTGTTATACTCACCCCAAGATCTTTTTTCTTGAGTGAGGTATGTAGTCTCTGACCCCCTAGACTGTACTCCGTCTGCGGCCTTCTTTGCCCTTCCCCAATCTTCATGACTTTGCCCTTGGTGGGAATGAACTCCAGGAAGCCAATTGCTGGACGCAGGCAGGTCTGCACCTGTCCAGATCCGCTTTGGTAGATCTGCCTGGTCTTCGATCGAGTGAATCTTCTCATCAACTTCACTCATCTGGCAAACAGGGACAAATCCTCAGAGTCCTATTTCCTTCCGACATGTCCTTTTTTTAGTGTTCACAAATACCCAAAACAAGCATGGTCGCCTAGAATGAACCCCTGCGGACCCGCCTGGTCACAGTGCCCACGTCTGGACACCTCGCCACGTACCATGACTTCCTGCGTCTTCCTGACAAGGTATGTCCCCTGATCCATGTAGTGCCTATGGTGTGGTGTGAGTGTGTGTGTGATGTGTGTGGTGTGTGTGTGTGTGTGTGTGTGTGAGGTGTGTGTGTGCGTGTGGAGCGTGTGTGTGTGCGTGTGTGTGGCGTGTGTATGCGGTGTGGTGCGTGTGTGTGCGTGGTGGTGTGCGTGTGTGTTGCGTGTGTGAGCCGTGTGTGGGTGCTTGTGTGCTCGTGTGTGCCGTGTTGCGGGCGTGCGTGGTGCGTGAGTGTGTGTGCGTGTGTGTATTACGGATTCGCGCGCGCTCGAACCGAGCAAAGAGAAAGAAAGAAACAGAAAGAAAGAGAATTACCTATTTTGGATTGTATAAACCTGCAGATACTGGAGCACACGCAGGTTCGTAGTAATCCCGTCTTCATAATTCCACTTGTTAGATGTTTTTTAAGGGCGTGTAGTGTATTGTAATCCCATGACAAAATTGTTTTCCTTGGTTCCTAGAGACGAAATCTCTCTCACCTCTTGGTCTCTGAGTTTCCTTGGTGAAAAACTGAAAGGAACAAAGACGACCCAGAAAGTTGCCGTCGTGTCCCTCAGAAAAAGTTGCGAAGTAATGTGTCATTAAGAAGAGGAGTATGAAGAACTTCCCTGACCTTGGAGAGGCGGTAGAGGGACGGCTGGAGGGTGGGTAGAGGGACGGGCCTGGAGGGGAGGTAGAGGGACGGCTGGAGGGTGGGAGAGGGATGGCTGGAGGGTGGTAGAGGGATGGCTGAGGGGTGGGGTAGAGGGACGGCCTGGGGGTGAGTAGTGGATGGCCTGGAGGGGTGGATAGAGGGACGGCTGGAGGGGCGGATTGAGTGGAGGTGGAGGGAGTGGGTAGAGGGACGGCAAGAGGGGTGGATAGAGGGAACTGCTGGCAGGGTGGTAGAGGGATGGCTGGAGGGGTTGGGTAGAAGGATGGCTGAGGGGTGGTAAGGGAAGGGCTTGGAGGGAGGGTAGAGGGATGGCTGGAGGGGTGGGTATGAGGACGGCTGGAGGGGTGGGTAAGGACGGCTGGAGGGGAGGGTAAAGGACGGCTTGAGGGGTGGGTTAGAGGACGGCCCTGGAGGGGTGGGTAGAGGACGGCTTGAGGGGTGGGTAGAGGGATGGCTAGGAGGGGTGTGGTAGAGTGGATGGCCTGGAGGGGTGAGTAGAGGGGTGATAGAAGGTATGGCTGGAGGGGTGGGAAGAGGGATTGCTGGAGGGGGTGGTAGAGGGATGGCTAGGAGGGGTGGGTAGTTGTGGATGCTGGAGGGGTGGACAAGGGATGGCTTATAGGGTGGATAGAGGGATGGCTGGAAAGGGGGTGGAAAACGGCTGGAGGGGGTGGACGAATGGCTTGGAAGGACGGCTGGAGAGGTGGTGTGGAGAGACGGCTAGAGGGAAGGGTGGAGGGGACGGCTAGAGAGGTGGGTGGAGGGACGGATCGGAAGAGGGTAAAGTGAGGATGCTAGAATGAATGGAAACGAGAATGGGGGATGGGATGTATTGGAAGAAGGTAAAGTGAAGAGTAGAAAGCTTGAAAGGCAGATGGAATAATGAGTAGCGTTATGCTTGGGGAGGGGAAAGGGTGAACAGAAGCATGGTAGGGGAGGTGATGTATGTGGGGTAGGGAAGGTAGATGTATGTGTATGTGTGTGTACTCACCTAATTGTGGTTGCAGGGGTCGAGACTCAGCTCCTGCCCCCGCCTCTTCACTGAGCGCTACTAGGTCCTCTCTCTCCCTGCTCCATGAGCTTTATCATACCTCGTCTTAAAACTATGTATGGTTCTTGCCTCTACTACATCGCTTGCCAGACTGTGTGTTTGTGTGTAAAAGAAGGTGAAGGTAGGAGGTCGAGGGTGAAGTAGGTCGAGAATTAGGTGGGGAGGATGTGGGACTGGTAAAGATGGTGGAGGTCATCATCTCCGCGGTCTGGTTCCAAACCAGTTTTCCTAGTTGCTACTCTTGTTGACCAGACTTTGTTGCTAGCTGCACAAAATTCAACATAGGCATCACAGCCTGGTTGTTCAGGAACTGTCATGAGAACTTACGAAGTTTCCTCTTGAAGACAACTAGGGAATATATTTGTAACTCTCCATATGCACAAAGGGAGCTTACCGAAGAGTCTTGGGTTCCTTACACTTAGTGCACTTATCGTGTCCTTGCTTTTCACTGAAAGTGTTTCACACCTGCCAGGCCTCTTGTTGTCACAGATTTGGAACCAATCCTTCCATAATTTTTCCGTTCTCGCCTACGTGCCAAGGAGTATGGTTCAGGGGAGTTCCCGCATTCTCAGGAGCTCTGATAACCTGAGTTCATATGAGCAGCGAAGGTTCTCTGAACGTTTTTCAGTTCTGCATTTCCCCTGACCTGAAGGGGCCGTTGTAACCATATCACAAAATCTACGCTATAAAAACAGAAGGAATCAAGGTGTGAGACCTGGGAAGAGCTCTGTCTTGTGAGATCACTAATACGAACAGACAAAACATACTATCACACTAAATTTAAATAACTCGTATTTGATAAGTGAAAAAAAAACATTAAATGCATAAGGCAGAAAAAGCGCTCAGAAACGTGGCAGAGGCGCCTTAACAGAGAAGGTTGACAACCCCCAACAAGACCGGCAGGTTAAACAAGATTAGGTATGTTTGTATGTACCTGAAAATAAGTCACTGAGTTTCTTTATCACTTCCAGAAACTTGTCATTACCGAGTCTCTGATCCTTTTCAAAGGCAGATTGTCGTCCAGGCAACATATACGAAGCAAGAGACCAAGAGCGTGGTAAACGCTACCAAGAGCGTGGTAAACGCTACCAAGAGTGTCATACACGATACCGAGTGTGGTACACAATACCAAGAGTGTGGTACACGCTACCAAGAGTGTGGTACACGCTACCAAGAGTGTGGTACACGATACCAAGAGTGTGGTACATAGAAATACGTCACTCTGTCAGACTTTTTCGGGTTATCCAAGGCTCTACATATATGCTATGTATAATAATCTATTTAACTGTATTTGTGTATACCTTAATAAACTTACTTGCCATATACTGCAGTATTTCTCCTGGAGCCCATCATGCAGGCGAGCAACAGTGCATAATACCACACTTAGGAAACGACCGTAACTCCACGAGGAAACCCAACAAATTAACACCCAATCCACCCCACTCCCCTCAACGGAGCATAGATGACGATTAATAATGATGATGATAAAGGGTACTCACATTCGCGGAGAGTGACCATGTAGTAGGACTCCTTGGAAGGTTGACTCTCGCCCAAGGCGTTGACAGCCACCACCCTGAAGGAGTACACGGTGAAGGGGGAGAGTCCGTCTACAGTGTACTGTGTGGAGTTAGTAGTAGTGCCACGGCCGTTGCTTACGTCCCAGTGACCGTCCTCACCCTCTCTGTAATGTGGTCAAGAGTCAGTAATTAGTACCTGTGTGAAGTATGTGGATGGTGGATGAGTATGTGGGATATGTGGGGTACTGAGCATCGCACTCAGTGCCAACCTTGCATGCTGATATAACATTGCTAATAATTCTAAACTAATAATTCTCTGGGAGCCGGGCTGGTGGCCACCCATCCTGGTATTCACTTATAAATATTATTTAAAAAATAAAAGACAAGTGGGTAATTAACCATCTTTCGCATGAAGAAGATGAATGTTCACTACAGCGAGTGAACACAGGAAAGAACTTCAGCGTTTGTCTTCAGAATAATATTCAGCATTTTGCGTGAATACTGCCATACCACCAGGCTGTTGCTGGCTTCTAGTCCTTACTGGGAATCCTACCTCAATACACTCTAAACTGCTAGATTATTATTATTATGACCATAATAAACGCTAAACCTACAAGGGTCATACAACATAGACTTACAGAACAACGTGACTGTCTCCACTTAGTTTCTTCTATATGTAAGTAGGTTGAATTTGTCAACATTAATCACGTTATTTACCTCAACAAGACTGTTAATACATCTTCCTAGTTCATCCATTATCTTTTACTGGGACAAATTTTGTTTAGTTACGTTTTCAACTGAATGTACGAATATGTGATCTGAGTTTTTTATGTGTTTGTTGTGAGGATGATAGAGAAGTAGAGAATGTTCGACTTGAGGGACCCACCACATTACTTTTATATCTATGGGAAGCGTAAATCCGTAGGGGTCACACAGAGTCTGGGAAATGGGAGGCAATCAGGTATTATCCAGAGAAGGCGAGAGTAGCTTTAATTCTTTGGAAGAAGAGCCTTGCAGCCTGAGTCTCACTCCGTTGTAGGGAAGGAAGGAGCCTGAACGAGGAGACACATGCAAGTTGACTTCGGTACAGGAAGAGTGAAGATCTGCAGTGACCTGGTAACGTGGTCGACCTTCATGTATGTATAGATACTATCAAGTTTGGCTAAGAATACCAAGAAATACACCACACAACAAAACAACAACAACAACAACAAATTACAAATCAAGTGTCTATCGAAAAGTGCTTTTTACAAATGGCAACTACCACACGCGCGAGCGCACACATTCACAGGCCAAGTGTCTATCGACAAATGCCTTCGACAACTAGCAACTAACTATTACTATTATTACTACTACCACACACACACACACACACACACACACACCACACACACACACACACACACACACACACACACACACACACACGAAGACCAGCCTCAAAAAGATCATTAAAACCTTCCAGCAGATTAACTTCCCTCTCGTTAAGCACCAAAACTGTAACTCTTCCTCCCTCTTTTCCTTCCTTCATTCCTTCCACCTTCCATCCTTCCTTCCTCCATCCTTTCTTCCGCCTTCCCTCCTTCCTTTCAGTTTCCCTTCTTACTGTATTCTACAATGTTTCCCTTCACCTGAGTGGTAACACGAGTGCTCGGTACTTAAACTTGTGTACAGCAAGGTGGGAGTCCCACATGAAGTGGTCAGTGTTGGCAGGTGGGAGTCCCACATGAAGTGGTCAGTGTTGGCAGGTGGGAGTCCCACATGAAGTGGTCAGTGTTGGCAGGTGGGAGTCCCACATGAAGTGGTCAGTGTTGGCAGGTAGGAGTCCCACATGAAGTGTGGTCAGTTTTGGCAGGTGGGAGTCCCACATGAAGTGGTCAGTGTTGGCAGGTGGGAGTCCCACATGAAGTGTGGTCAGTGTTGGCAGGTGGGAGTCCCATATGTAGTGTGGTCAGTGTTGGCAGGTGGGAGTCCCACATGAAGTGTGGTCAGTGTTGGCAGGTGGGAGTCCCACATGAAGTGTGGTCAGTGTTGGCAGGTGGGAGTCCCACATGAAGTGTGGTCAGTGTTGGCAGGTGGAAGTCCCATATGTAGTGTGGTCAGTGTTGGCAGGTGGGAGTCCCACATGAAGTGTGGTCAGTGTTGGCAGGTGGAAGTCCCATATGTAGTGTGGTCAGTATTGGCAGGTGGGAGTCCCACATGAAGTGTGGTCAGTGTTGGCAGGTGGAAGTCCCATATGTGGTGTGGTCAGTGTTGGCAGGTGGGAGTCCCACATGGTGTGGTCAGTGTTGGCAGGTGGAAGTCCCATATGTGGTGTGGTCAGTGTTGGCAGGTGGGAGTCCCACATGAAGTGTGGTCAGTGTTGGCAGGTGGAAGTCCCATATGTGGTGTGGTCAGTGTTGGCAGGTGGGAGTCCCACATGAAGTGTGGTCAGTGTTGGCAGGTGAGAGTCCCATATGTAGTGTGGTCAGTGTTGGCAGGTGGGAGTCCCATATGTAGTGTGGTCAGTGTTGGCAGGTGGGAGCCCCATATGTAGTGTGGTCAGTGTTGGCAAGTAGGAGCCCCATATGTGGTGTGGTCAGTGTTGGCAGTTGGGAGTCCCACATGAAGTGTGGTCAGTGTTGGCAGGTGGGAGTCCCATATGTAGTGTGGTCAGTGTTGGCAGGTGGGAGCCCCATATGTGGTGTGGTCAGTGTTGGCAGTTGGGAGTCCAACATGAAGTGTGGTCAGTGTTGGCAGGTGGGAGTCCCATATGTAGTGTGGTCAGTGTTGGCAGGTGGGAGCCCCATATGTAGTGTGGTCAGTGTTGGCAAGTAGGAGCCCCATATGTGGTGTGGTCAGTGTTGGCAGGTGGGAGTCCCACATGAAGTGTGGTCAGTGTTGGCAGGTGGGAGCCCCATATGTAGTGTGGTCAGTGTTGGTAGGTGGGAGCCCCATATGTAGTGTGGTCAGTGTTGGCAGGTGGGAGCCCCATATGTGGTGTGGTCAGTGTTGGCAGGTGGGAGTCCCATATGTAGTGTGGTCAGTGTTGGCAGGTGGGAGCCCTATATGTAGTGTGGTCAGTGTTGGCAGGTGGGAGACCCATATGTAGTGTGGTCAGTGTTGGCAGGTGGGAGTCCCATATGTGGTGTGGTCAGTGTTGGCAGGTGGGAGTCCCATATGTGGTGTGGTCAGTGTTGGCAGGTGGGAGTCCATATTTTAGTGTGGTCAGTGTTGGCAGGTGGGAGCCCATATGTAGTGTGGTCAGTGTTGGCAGGTGGGAGTCCCATATGTGGTTTGGTCAGTGTTGGCAGGTGGGAGTCCCATATGTGGTGTGGTCAGTGTTGGCAGGTGGGAGTCCCATATGTGGTTTCGTCAGTGTTGGCAGGTGGGAGTCCCATATGTAGTGTGGTCAGTGTTGGCAGGTGGGAGCCCCATATGTAGTGTGGTCAGTGTTGGCAGGTGGGAGTCCCATATGTGGTGTGGTCAGTGTTGGCAGGTGGGAGTCCCATATGTAGTGTGGTCAGTGTTGGCAGGTGGGAGCCCTATATGTAGTGTGGTCAGTGTTGGCAGGTGGGAGTCCCATATGTGGTGTGGTCAGTGTTGGCAGGTGGGAGTCCCATATGTGGTTTGGTCAGTGTTGGCAGGTGGGAGTCCCATATGTGGTTTGGTCAGTGTTGACATGAGGGCACTCACGTTACAGTGGAACCTTTGAAACTACAGCCCTGTGGTACCCTCGGGGTACCTTCGTTGTAAAGATGAAAGGATGATGAAGCAAGGTTGGTAATGTTGCTCTGTGGCATGAAAACTTTGCCACTGATCTTGGGGTATGCCCGATACTGTTCAGTTGCCTCCCAGGATACATAAGGGGGATTACTAATATATCCCTGGCTATCTTCAAGCAGGCACTGGACAGGCACCTAAAGTCAGTACCTGACCTGCCGGGCTGTGGTTAGCACGTAGGGTTGCGTACGGCCAACAGTAACAGCCTGGTTGATCAGGCCCTGACCCACCATGAGGCCTGGTCACAGATCGGGCCGCGGGGGCGTTGATCCCCGGAACCCTCTCCAGTTATACTCCAGTGGAAGTACTAGGTGGAGGTGGTCAGTGTCACTCTCCAGAACCCAGCATCAACACCACCATTTCTCTAGCACCCTGCATTCCTCTCTAGCACCCTGCATTCCTCTCTAGCACCCAGCATTCCTCTCTAGCACCCTGAATTCCTCTCTAGCACCCTGAATTCCTCCCTAGCACCCTGCATTCCTCTCTAGCACCCAGCATTCCTCTCTAGCACCCTGAATTCCTCTCTAGCACCCAGCAATCCTCTCTAGCACCCAGCATTCCTCTTTAGCACGTAGCAATCCTCTCTAGCACCCACCAATCCTCTCTAGCACCCAGCATTCCTCTTTAGCACCTAGCATTCCTCATCACCCAGTATCTATACTATCATTCCTCATCACTCCAGCGTCCACACCAACAGACTCCCCCAACATCCCTTCCTCTCTGACCTTCACCATCCTTAAATCGACCTCTGACGGGGAGGGAAACTTCTGGTGTGGGCCAGAATATCGGGAGAGGGAGGCACCGACAAACGAGAGAAGTTTGGGGAACGATAGTCATAGAGGAGGGCAGTAAAGATGGAAACGGAAGCAACAGAGAAGAGAAATATGATAGCGAGGGGCAGGAACGATTCCATGACCTGCGACCTCATGACATTACCGAAGTAGGTTGATGGGTGCAGCACAGGAGGTGGAGAAGTGAACGGGGAGGGGAGGACGTGGAAGGGAAGATGAAAGGAAAGGGGAAGGGACAGGAAAGGGGAGTGGGACAGGAAAGGGGAGGGAGACATGAAAGGGGAGAGGGATGAGGACAGGAAAGGGGAGTGGGGCAGGAAATGGGAGAGGGATGAGGATAGGGGAGGGTGGACAGGATAGGGAGGGAAGAGGAAAGGGGGGGAAGAGGAAAGGGGAGGGGGACAGGAAAGAGGAACCAGAAAAGAGGAAAGGGAACAAAAAAGAAGAGGTAGAAGGATGACCAAGGTGAACCAGGTGAGAGAGACGGAGAAAACAAGTTTACGTTCAACTTCACCTGGTACAGGACAAGAGGAAAATGACGTGTTGAGATGAGTGACTATGGGGAGGAAAGAGAGAGGGGGAAGGGAAGGAGCTCGGGGAGGAAAGAGAGGGGGAAAAGGAGCTCAGGAAGCAAAAGGGGATGAGGAAACCGACGGAAAGGAGCCTTGAGGCCAAGCTGCAAGAACAGTCTCCCTGCAGCACTCCCCTGGAGGTTGTGGAGACGCTGTGCCAGGATGGACAGCAGTCTGCAACGCTGAATTGGGTGCATGACTATAATGACAGTGTACAG